CGCGAAGGGATACCACCACATAGATAGTTATTAGGCTGAGGTCTCGTTCGTTAACTGAATTAACCAGTCAAATAGCTCCACCAACTAAGAAGGGCCATGCACCACCACCCATAGAATCAAGAAAGAGCTCTTAGTTTGTCAATCCTTACTATGTATGGACCTGGTAAGTTTCCCCGTGTTTAGTCAAATTAAGCCGCAGGCTACACTCCTGGTGGTGCCCTTCCATCAATTCCTTTAAGTTTCAGTCTTGCGACAATACACCCCCTCCAAAGAAACCAGAAAACTTTGATTTCTCATAAGGTGCCGGCGGAGTCCTAAAAGCAACATCTGCCAATCCCTGGTCGGCATCATTTTTGGTTGAGACTAGGACGGTATATGATCGTCTTCGAGCCCCAAACTTTCGTTCTTGATTAAATTAAACATCCTTGGAAAATGCTTTCGTAGTCGTTCGTCTTTCATAAATCTAAAAATTTCACCTCTGACTATGAAAAAACGAATGCCCCCGACGGTCCCTGTTAATCATTAATTTGATCCCGAAGGCAAAATGTAATAGGACCGAAACCCTATAATTTTATCCCGTGCTAATGTACACAGAGCGTAGGCTTGCTTTGAGCCTTCTAATTTGTTCAAAGTAAAATCGCTGGAGGCACAACCCAGCCAATTAAGGCCAGGAGCGCATCGCCTACAGAAGGGATGAGACGACCGGTGCACACCTAGGACGAACCAACCGACCCATCCCAAATTCCAACTACGAGGTTTTTAACTACAACAACTTAAATATACGCTATTGGAGCTGGAATTACCGCAACTGCTAGCACTTGACTTGCCCTCCAATGGATCCTCGTTAAGGGATATAGATTGTACTCATTTCAATTACCAAACTCGTACAGCCCAGTACTGTTATTTATTGTCACTACCTCCCCGTGTCAGAGTTGGGTAATTTGCGCACCTACGGCCTTCATTGGATGTGGGAGTCATTTCTCAGGCTCCCTCTCAGGAATCGAACCCTAATTCTCCATCACCTGTCACTACCATGGTAGGCCACTATCCTACCATCGAAAGTTGATAGGGCAGAAATTTGAATGATGCATCACCATCACGATGGTCGTGCGATCCGTCGAGTTATCATGAATCATCGCGATAATGGGGAGATCCCGCGTCGACCTTCCATCTAATAAATGTATCTCTTCCACATGTCGTTGTTTTTTGCACATATTAGCTCTAGAATTACTATGGTTATCCGAGTAGTAGATACCATCAAACAAACTATAACTGATTGAATGAGCCATTCGTAATTTCACAGTATAAATTTGTTTATACTTACACATGCATGGCTTAATCTCTGAGACAACCATATGACTACTAGCAGGATCAACCAAGTAGCATTCCTCAATGACCACACATGCCGCATGAGACTGGCACGCCCGTTTGGGCATGGTCGGGTCCAAGGCGAGCGCGACCGTCATTCGTAAGGAGCATTTATTTTGCAGAGATAGGAGACGGTGAAGGCCCCATGCCCACTGCATCTATCGAACCCGAGAATTCGAGCCGCTGCTCGCAGACCACGCCATCGCACGATGAAGTAAGAAAGGCATGGGATGCGAGAGTGACTTTTAGGTTGACCCCGCACTTGGAATGCGAAGGGAAAAAAGGTGATCGATTGCACGTGAGTAATGCCTACGCATAAGGTATGCAACAAAGGAGACCGAAATCCAACAAGCCTAGATTTCGCTTGATCCGCCACCGAGTTGGAATTCGACTTAGGTTGTCACTGCTTGAAGTAAGGATCCAACCTAACCACACAACTCGAATTCCACTTATGCGTCGTACGTAAATTTCTTCGTCGATACACTCCCAACAAACGCCCCGACACTCGACATTAAATGTCGTGTATCGACGCTGATTCCTTCGTTGCAAGGCTAATCCAATCCCCGTCGTTGTGCGCCTCCATCGCGGTGAGAATCTAATCACTTCAAAGGTGTTGGAGGCAGACTGTAGTTCTTGCACGAACACCCCCCTAACCGGCCTATCGATACTGCATGGCCGTGCATGGCCCTACGTGTCCCATGTGTGTAGCCCCTAGAGTTAGCCGTAATAGGAGCTCTAGAACTCACCACTCGCCCGAAATCACTGTCTTTTCCACACCAAATGAGTATAAATCAGTCGATATAAATGCCCTAAGCAGCATACAGTCGCCCCACACACGTCGCCGGCGTGTTTTTGTAGGCGCCCAACGGCGTAGCACACACAAGCCATGCATGCCATCAAGCGCCCACGCAGCACGCCTACTAAGCCCACAGGACGCCCATGACGTACACCTTCCGTCACCTCAGTATGCCTCCAACACCTCTACCCCCAATTATATATGCTTAAAATAAAAAAAAACCATGTGACAGGAGTAGACATCGTTATTCCAGAGAATCATAATGAACATGTACAACCCAGATATGCACACATTAGCTTCCACAAATGACTTTTATATATATAAAAAAATAGTTTT